TTCTCATTAGCAGTCTTGTGACTTCAGCAGAGCACTGGTAAAACTTGTAGGAGGAGTTTGCTTTCTGCTCTAAGAGGATGTGAAACCTCTGACCCTCTGTCTGGACAGTGCTGATTGGCCCTGTGCTCATCACATGCACTCTCCCAAGAAAAAAAAAAACATTCCTAGCAATACACACCAACCTGAGTATGTGCATGTGGCTACGGATTCAGTCTGTATCAGGTGATCATTTCAACAAGAAGAGGGGCAGAGAAGAAAGGATCAGACAGCCTTTTTACACAATGCAGAGGACTAACCCCTTAGGTTCCACAGTGAGTATAACAAGCATGCTTTACTGCATATGCAGGCTGATTTTAATGTTGTGGGTTTAGTGTGGGTTTAAGCCTGAACTTTCTTATAGTTTTTATAACTGTCGTAGCTCCTACTTTCACCATTCAATTCACACCTACTGCCACTGGATAGAAGAACAGGTATTGCACTCAAAAATATTTTTAAAACGTTTTTTTTCCATGTGTAATAATTCAGTTTAGGGTGCTGCTGCATCTAGGTCAAGTAATAATGTAACAATTAAAAGAGAAGTAGGGCTTTTTTTTTCTATTTATACTTACTTAGGTGTATGCAGTATCTATCCGATGCTGAATCTGTCCCCTGCCTGCTCTAAAGGTGAGAATTCAGCAATCACATGTTCGCTGATCACTGAGCTCTCACAGCCGCTCTGAGCAGAGAGCAGTGACTGTCAGTCACTGCTTTCTGCTCAGCCCCCCCCCAGTGCTCACTGGAGCTCTGGGCTGTGGAGGGGGAGGGAGCTGCTGGCTCAGGCTGTCCTAGACTCTGGGGTGGATCCCGACTTTAAAGTTTCTTTAAAGGATCTTTCCGCAGCCTGGACCAGCTGAGTGACGTCAGCCGACAGAGGACTTCAGTCTGCTGTCAGCAGGTCACAGAACAAACTGCACTCCTGTGATCCACAGGAGAAGTACAGCCAAAAAGCTTTGACTATACTTCTCCTTTAAAAAAATTGCATGCAAAATATGTGATGCCAGAACACAGAGTCACTAAAACTTCCATGGTTAAAGTACTGTTCCATAAAACTACATAAAGCCTAAAGGCATTTCCCAAGCTTGTAATTTAAGGATTGTTGTTTTTTCCCATGCAACCCACAAAGTCCCATCAAAAGATGGGCACTTTGTCCACTGTATGGTATGTTTCAATTTTAATTTTTCGCATTGCTATACTGTATATCCCCCATGGCCGTTTTTGATAATCACCTGCTTATTAGCTTTGAACATAGGCAGAATTAATTTTTAAGATTTTCCCCCTTAAACTTTAATGGGGTTTGGTTTTAAGTTTATACTTTTTAAAAATTTGGACAGGTTCTTCACACACATGAACCTAACACTGCTGATCCACAGAATTATACTGAATGATACTCTAAAGAGAAAGTGTAGTGGTGTGGGATCTCATTGTCACACATGAATAAATCCATAATTGAACACTCCACCCCATAGGAACGTTATCCAAAAAGATAAAAACTTGTTATGCTATGACTGGGTGTGCTCAGTTGTAACCAAACAGAGAGAGAACTGTTAAAGCAGAACTATACTCACCTGCTCTTCAGTGCTGCCATGTCCCAGAGCTCCCCACCAGCTGCTGAAATCTTTGGTTGGTTGGCTCCCGAGTACTGATCTTCATCCATTTTCATTGGCCGGGCTAAGTATACGTCACTCCTGTGTATGTGTGGAAGTTCATTCATCTCAGCATTGCTGGCAATCTATCCCTCGATTAGGGAGTTCAACAAATCAACCACCAATAAAAAGAAAATGATTGACAGTGCATAATGATTTTAGGAAACAAGTATTGACTTTTTTCCCAATTGAGGACAACCAGAGAGTGCTTCCTCTCAGAGAGTTCCTGTCACATTTCACTTCACTGTAAATGATCAGTCACTGTTTGCCTCATACTATTTCCCCAACAAGATGAGAGACACTGCAGGAGGTAGAATTCTCTTTTTGGGTGAGACTAGAGATGGGAAGGTCTGGAACACTACAGGGAAAAGGCTCCTGTTTAGTTTGCTTGTGGGCAGGGGCGGACTGACAACTCATGGGGCCCCCAGGAAATAGGGGATCATGGGGCCCCTGTGTCCTCGCCCACACCCAAAAAAGCCTATGAAAAAGCCAATGAAAGGTACCAGGGGCATCTCATGAGGCCCCCTACTGACCCCGGGCCCTCGGGCAGTGCCCGAGTGCTCGAATGGTCAGTCTGCCCCTGCTTGTGGGCTCCATTTTGTACCTGCAACAGTTGGGTGAATGGTTTGATACAGTAGATCATAGTTTCTGTCCTCTCAGGCATTCATTGACAGGCAAGAAGGTAAATATGTCTAACAAATTAGTGTATCTTTATATCCTTCATATGAGTCTTATTAATGTTCTTCACCATCACAGCATAATGTTTACCAATAGCTTACTCAGTAAATTGTTTTTTTCTTTTCCTCCTCTCAGTAAAATGGTTAGACCAACATGTAGAGTTTGGAAACATTTCCACAGTGCCATTTCTGTTGAGAGCAAACCTGCCATTTGTGAATTTTGTGAGAAGAAATATACTACAAGGATGACAAAACACATCCATGCATGCCAGAGGTGCCCTAAAGACATTAGGCTTCAGCTACTTAGGTGGTTGGAGGAGCTTGTAACTGTTTGAGAGATGTATTATTGGAGTTCCACTCCCAACCCCCTATCCTGATCATATTTACCGGGTGATTTTGGAACCTCGCCCATTGCTGTTGTCTTGTGTTGTAACGTTTTCTTTTGAGTTCCAACTGTACTATTGGTCATGCCTTTATACCATAGACCTAGTGTCTCACGTGTATTCATTGTTAATATTTCTGATATGTTAGTTGCTCTAGATGTACCATGCGTTCTATGTTGATGTTAGCATGTTAGCATGCCCTAAAGTGTGGGCATTGCATTGTTCTTCTATTTCCTTTTTCTCCTTCTTCTCCCCTCTTTTTTTTTCTTCTTTTCCTTCTCCTTTTCTTTTGTTACATGATTGTTATACATTGTACCCTTGTTTATTTGCTTCAATAAAGTAGCTTTATAAAGTAAAAAACATTATTTATTGAATGAAATGATGAGGATCAGGGGTGGACTGACCATTTGGAAACTTGGGCGCTGCCCGAAGGCCCGGGGTCAGTAGGGGGCCCCATGAGATGCCCCACCTTTTTCATAGGCTTTTTTGAGTTTGGGCAAGGACACAGGGGCCCCATGATCCCCTAATGCCCGGGGGCCCCATGAGTTTTCAGTCCGCCCCTGATGAGGACCATAATGAAAGTGCAAGTAGCTTTTTTCTCCAGTGTTCTTATTCTAGGAAAACTTTTTCTGCTACTTCTGGATCATCACAGTGTTTTTTTTTCACCAGCAGTATCTTCAAGGAAGGAAGTGCTGCAAACCACTGCCTCCAAAAATACACAATACCTTCATTTATAGATAACACCTGCTCAGACCAAACATCAGGAGAAAATTGATCAAGCTCTTCATAGAGCAATATATGTTTCTGTATCAACATTGAAAATGAAGATGCATATTGGCAGGAAACTTTTAAATTGTTATGAGGGAAAGGGGAGTGGTGGTTATCTGTTCTCGTGTGTAGTTGAAATTTTCTTAATGCATACAGTCCCTGTTATTCCATTTGTAATAAAAAATGTAATTTTAAAAAGCAAGTTTTGTTTATTTACTGAATATGCTGTACTTTTATTTTAAGCATAATACTTTTATATACACTACATTTCACCTTCCCAATGTAACAAAAAGACTTTCAGTTTGTAAAACTTCTCCACACTGATTTTTTTTTTTAATTTTTCCAAAATGTTGATTTTTTTTTCTGAAAAAATAGAACCAAGGAAAAACCTGTTTTTTCTCATGGCTTCAAAATTTCTGGAAATTTTACATCTCTAGGTAGGACGCTAAGCAAAATGTGTTTTTCTGTATACTGATATGCTTGCTATCCGCAGCCCATTCCCCAGTTACGGGGCTAGTTCATCTGTAGCATCTATCTTTCCCTATTCAAAATTAGGGCTTTGTCCATAACTACACTTCCACTTAAGGACCCCATCATGATGCAGATTCTGCACTTCCATGTTCTGTGCACTATGGGAGACCAGAAATAGCGAATGCAGGGTCCTGGGTTTAGTAACACTTTAAGCCCATGCAACAGTCCTGCAGGAAAGAAGCACAATGATTCTGCATTCTGACCTGGGGTGAAGGTTAGCAATAGGTGACATTTAAGGGTGTCAAATTAATGTATTTTAATGTGTGTTCATATGTATATCAGACAATAATGGTATGTGTGAACTCCTTTAGAATATTTACAAATAAAAATAGTCCTTTGCAAATTCTCAAAAATGATTATACCATAAAAAGTAAATTATAAATTGACAGTATGTTATGAATGGTACAGAAGCTCTTTTTATTCATTCAGGAAAATTTAAATGAAACTGATCTTTTTTACATAAGAATCATGTTATAAAAACCTAAACTATAATTCTCTGTAGTGTAAATTCTAATAAATTTTCTAAAGAAGTTAAGAAAAATGAAAACAGTACATTTTACCATGGAGCAAGCAGTATTTCTTACAGTATGAGTTTTGTGGTGGTAAGTAAATGAACACTTGTAGTAGTAGGTCTGTAGGTTGTGACATCATACCTAACCAATGTTCCATACCATGTGTGGTGAGTAGGTGGGAGGGGGGAGAAAAGGGTAACACTAAAAGCTGATATTATTTTATTTTAATCTCAGTATAAATAAGCAAGAAAGAAAATATAAAAAAGAAACTAAACAGTAAGTAGAAAACATTCTGAATCTAATAAATTAGGCTTATTTGTATATATGTAACTCTTGTCTAGAAAAAAAGGCACACTTTTGTGACTATTAAAACAATGATCACAAAAGTAAAACATTTAGATATATTACAGTGTGTAACAAGCATGCTAGCTATGGTGTCACAGAGTCCTAGTCCGTGTACTCACAAATGTTTGCAGCAGGGCTGATCACTAAGACTTTTTCTTCGGAAAGTATGGAAAAATGCTTGGTTGACATGTCAGTGCTAGTTGTATCTTGCATTAGGTTCATGTTATCAACACATTGTTTTGTATTGTTTGAATTGCCTTGTATGTTACTGTTATCTTTCACACTGTTCATTTTCCATGGGACACTTAGATATTTTTGGATCTCAATAGCTGGGCTTCTTCTGTTTGCATTAAGAGAAAGTAGTCTGTGGAACATGTGTAATGCCTGCCGTGTAAACTGCTTCCAATGAAAAGGAATATGTTGGCTATTATCCCCTAAGCTCTGCCATTTAGTGAACTCTTCATACTGCTTGTCCTTCATTAATGCTGTGTCCCAAGGAAAGTACCCAGTGGAAATGCAAAACAGAAGGATACCAAAAGACCAAACATCAAGACTGGAGTCAAGTTCAAGAGATTCGTTATCTTCTAAGCTACAAAGCTCAGGAGGTGAATAAGGGAGAATCCCTTTCATTGGAGACACCGGAAAACCTTCAAGTCGTGTTAATCCAAAGTCCGCTAACTTTATACAGTGGCAGTCTTTATCAAAAATAAGAACGTTGTCTAGCTTTACATCTCTGTGAACAAGAGCTTTGCTATGCATAAAGTCTAGAGCTTCAGCCAACTGCATGGCACATCGTTTTACGATTGTCTCAGGTAGTCCAACCTACAAAAAAACATACATATATGCAATAAAATGTTATATATATAAATAAAAAACTTTTCGAAAGCAATATTGATGCTAATCAAACAGATAAATGTATTTTATGTGTTACTGTTCTTGTTTTACAGAAGATAAAATTATCACTAATGTTCATTGCATCCTATCTTTGTATATCCTCTCATATAGTATAAAGACAGATGACAACATCTGTTTACCAGCTGCAGAGGATTAAAGTCCAAGTGTTCATGGATCAGTGCACAAATGCAACCTTTTCTTGTAGAATATTACCTGTCCCTCATCTGCAACCTCTTTGCATATCTAAGGCATCATTAGTATGTGCCAAACCTTCTTCTATATGGCAATTTGTGTTCACGACTACTCCCATATCTGCTCTGTATGTCCAGGGCTCTCTTTCCTTTATTACCTTACATCCACTGCCCTGTCCCTTCACCACCATTAAGCAATGTATTTACTCAGCCTAAGCTGGCCATAAACCAAAAGAGTTTTGTTGGAATGATCGTTTGGAAATTCTGAAAAATCGTTTGTCCAGTACTTGATCTCCCTATCATTGAGACAAATCATTTCAAGTGAGACAATTCATTTCTAAAGCCCTTACAAATTTGTCCAGACCTGCTACTCGAATGGAATTCCAGACATATTAAACCGGCTTCTTTTATGCCTAAAACATGTACAATACTATATGTAGGATTTTTCCTGAAGAAAAGCTACATTCAGAGTTAACATTTTTTAGTCTGAGAATTTTTTTCTATTTTGCTTCTTTGAATTATTTCATTACTACAGTTGAAAATCAATTGGACCCCCCAACCAGCAGAAAATTGCAAAAATGATCCGAAATTAACATTTTTAAAAAGGAATTTTACTGGCCACCTCTACTTCATTTCTTTTGCTCCATGTATTCTCCACACTCAGTTCTCATTCATGGCTCCATGCTGACTGCTACCTGTGGCTATGGAGAGAAAACCAGCACACTGAGGAACAATTCTAAAGCAGAAATCAAGGAAGTTCCATATCAGCAAAAAAATGTACACCTGCAGTTGACCTCCTGCTCTTCTCCCTCCAGTTCATTGTCTTCCCCTACATCCACTCATTGTAGCTGTTTAGTCCCATCAACATATGTCCCGTATATGTGCATATTAATATGCTGCTCTTCTATGCCTTATCTGTGCACCATATGGTCTGCTCAGCCCACCGCCATCATCTGTTAACACACACCTCTCTACACAGTCCAGTCTGTCAACAGCCATTGTAGCGTATGCTCTCTCCATGAGACCCTCTTGCCTCCTGATATTCCAGAGATAAAAAATCCTTCTATTTTACTACCAATTGGGAGAACATAGATATGTACTTTAATGGATAAAGAGGTGGAAAGTGAGCAGTGCTAGTGGAATCCAATTGATTTAATATGCAGCAAAGGTAAATCAAACAATAATGTGCCTAAGCTGCTTCTGTGGCACAGATTGTTACTTGCCACCAAATCTCCATTACAAACCCTTAGGGCTTTCTACCCAGTGTAGCAATAGGACATTTGTACTGAGTAATTTTCACAGATAATGCTGAAAACAAATATGTCAAGCTACGTGCTGACGTCATGCCACCATGTCCATACGATGGTGCGGTGGCCATCTATGTAAATAGCTTCACCTTTCCTGTTTGCTCCACATGGATGCTTTTACATTTCCAATAAAAATACTGCACCATAAGCGCTTTCTCTATTTGTGAGCTGTTCCCTTCAAGGTGGAGCTATTTTATGCTGAGGATTGAGTGATCTGTTGGAGGTACCTCCTATTTCTGGTGCATGACAGCTGTGTATTCCCTTTACCTATGCCTGACGGTGGATAAGGCTGACCTGTTGGAGGAGTTTGTTATCACTGCTTTCAATGCGCATTCAATATGCGCTTCTGGTGAGTGCATTAGAAGGAAGAATGTGTCACGGATTCACCTATCACTTGAGGTCACGATCATCTTTTGAACTTTTTTGATATATTTGTTTATTGGTCATTATATCACTTTTTTTTTTGCTCTGAATTACAATATTTGTTGATTTGTTCACTGCAGTCAAGATACAGATATATTTGTCACCCTTGAGCTGCATTTTTGCACTGCACTATATGTACTCATTCCTTTATATTTCTGTATTTGTCACCATAGCGCCGGAATATAGCGCTTCACTATTATCATATATAATTTTTTTGCTTGTTCACTCAAGTCACCATTTATTCTTTTTTTATAAGAACGCTAGAGCGTTGAGAATTATTTAACTGTCATATGTCTATTTTACTAGCACTGCACTTTTTTCTAATCAAATATCTAAACATTGCTGGAGAAGAGGTTTTGGGATAAAAGCAAGAGGAACGCAGTGAAGGTGAGTTGATTGCACAGTGGGCAATTGCAGAAGTATGGATATCAAAGGTGGTGAAATGCTAATGAAAAATAAAATGCCAATCTGTGTCCGAGAGGCACCATTATGCATTCCTTCCTGGGTGACAGCAGATTGAGCCTAACACTAGGATCAAGGCCATTGTTAATGAGCCGGGGGGGGGGGGGCTTTTCCAGCTTTAATTAATTAGGGCTCTGACTTTAGAACTTTGGCATGCTTTTGTTCACTATCTAATGGGGCATTCCAACATTCTTACAGAGATGATCTAATAGACAGATGAAGAACAAGTTGAAGTAAAATCATGTCTCTTGACTGGAGAAGTGGCCCTATTATTGGCTTTACAGAGATTAAACAAACAATCCTTTAGGGAAAGAAGTATTGATTGCTTAGGGTAACTTCAAAAGCATGATTCTTATGCAATGCTTACAATAAAAAGAAATCAGAGATGTCAGTTCTAAATGAATGTCTACTTATTTTGCTTGGACATTGGGTACAATACTACCACTCAGCCCCTAAAATGTAACCCCAAACCCTAGCTTCTTGTACTTTATAACGTAACTCTATCTCTTAATCAGACATGTGCATACATATGTCCTTACTCAATTACATTTCTGCTGCTCGACAAATGCACTCTATTTATCGCATATTTTACTGGGCAGCACAGAGGCTAAATGGTTAGCACTTCCACCTGGCAGTACTAGGGTCATTGGTTCAAATCCCAGCCACGGCACCTCCTGCCTAGAGTTGCATGTTCTCCCTGTGCCTGCGAGGGTTTTTTTCCCACACTCCAAAGACATGCTGGTAGGTGAATTGGCTCCTGTCTAAATTGGCCCTAGAATGTGTATAAATGTGAGTAAGGGACCTTAGATTGTACACCCCTTGAGGGTTAGTGACTGATGTGAATGTACACTATACAGTTGCAAGAAAAAGTATGTGAACCCCTTGGGATTACGTGGAGTTTTGCATGAATTGGGCATAAAATGTACTCTGAACGTCATCTAAGTCACAACAATAGAAGAACACAGTCTGCTGAACATAATACTACACAAACATTAGATGTTGCCATGGTTTAATTGCACATAACATGTAAACATTCACAGTGCAGGGAGGAAAAAGTATGTGAACCTTTGGACTTAATAACTGGTTGACCCTCCTTTGGCAGCAATAACCTCAACCAAACGTTTTCTGTAGTTGCAGATCAGACCTGCACAACGATCTGGAGTAGTTTTGGACCACTCCTCTTCACAAAACTGTTTCAGTGTAGCAATATTCTTGGGATGTCTGGTGTGAATCGCTCTCTTAAGGTCATGCCACAGCATTTCAATCGGGTTGAGGTCAGGACTCTGACTGGGCCACTCCAAAAGGCGTATTCTGTGCTGTTGCAGCCATTGTTTTGTTGAATTACTTGTATGCTTTGGGTCATTGTCCTGTTGCATCACCCATCCTCTGCGGAGCTTCAGTTGGCGGACAGATGGTCGTACGTTTTCCTGAAAAATGTCTTGATAAACTCTGGAATTCATTTTCCCATCAATGACAACAATCCGTCCAGGCCCTGAGGCAGCAAAGCAGCCCCAAACCATGATGCTCCCCTCCACCATGTTTTACAGTGGGGATGAGGTTTTGATGTTGGTGTGCTGTGCCTTTTTTCCTCCACACATAGTGTTGTGTGTTCTTCCCAAACAACTCAATCTTGGTTTCATCTGTCCACAGTATATTTTGCCAGTAATGCTGTGGAACATCCAGGTGCTCTTTTTTGCAAACTTCAAATGTGCTGCAATATTCTTTTTTTGGACAGCAATGGCTTCCTCCGTGGTGTCCTCCCATGTACTCCATTCTTATTTAATGTTTTCCTTATTGTAGATGTGTCAACAAAAATGTTAGCATGTGCCAGAGATTTCTGTAGGTCTTTAGCTGACACTCTGGGATTCTTCTTTACCTCATGCAGCATTCTGCGCTGTGCTCTTGCAGTCATTTTTACAGGATGACCACGCCTAGGGAGAGTAGCAACAGTGCTAAACTTTCTCCATTTGTAGACAGTCTGTCTTCCCGTGGACACATGAACATCAAGGCTTTTGGAGATACTTTTGTAACCCTTTCCAGCTTCATGCAACTCAACAATTCTTGATCGTAGGTCTTCTGAGAGCTCTTTTCTGCGAGGCATGGTTCACATCAGACAGTGCTTCTTGAAACCAGTAAACCCAAAACAGGTGTGTGTTTTCTAAGGGCAGGACAGCTGTCAGCAACACATCCAATATCATCACACTGATTGGAGTCAAGGTTGGCTCACTCCTGGCTCCAATTAGCTGTGGAAGAAGTCATTAAGCTAGGGCCTCACATACTTTTTCCTCCCTGCACTGTGAATGTTTACATGTTATGCGCAATTAAACCATGGCAGCACCTAATGTTTGTGTAGTATTATGTTCAGCAGACTGTGTTCTTCTATTGTTGTGACTTAGATAACGTTCAGAGCACATTTTATGCCCAATTCATGCAAAACTCCACATAATCCCAAGGGGTTCACATACTTTTTCTTGCAACTGTATATACAGGTGAAACTCGAAAAATTAGA